AACAGAAAGCAGGAGATGAAATCTACAAATTTTATCTGCCAAACTGCAACAAGAATGGATTTTATCACAGCAAACAGGTAGGTGGCTTTGCTACTGTGTGGTCTCACATGCTAGCTCTGCTCTTCCACATCCCGGTTAGAGCCTCAAAATACAGAACATGGGTGACTTTCTTACATGAGGCCCATCGCTGCGTGGTTGGGAGAAGCTAGTCCTTACAAGGAGGTAGTGTGATGGGCGAGGAGCACTTCAGCCAGTAGGGAGGACTGCCTTTACTCAGATCAACAGCGTGAAGTCAGTAAGGAGGTGCACCTTCGCTCAGATCAACACCTGCAACTAGAGGAAAGAAACACAGTCAACTTGGGAGGCAGAAGTCCCACTCTGTCTTCCCACAAATTAATACAAACTCTATAGTAAAGTACAGTAGGCTGTGTGCTATGCCCAGTAATAAATGAGATCCAACAAGCCAAGGCTTAAGTTTGAGGAGCCTTTAGGACTCGAGAAGTGAAAGTTCTGTGACTTCATTGAGAAAACCTGAGATCTAGGCCCAGCTAAGTGATAGAGGTGGTTAATCAGTGAGACCCATTGCTGGACGCCTTTGTCAGCAGGGCCATGAAGAGATAATTGTCAAAACATTGCACCATTGAACAAATGTGTGAGATCGTTATCACATGCGCCACACAGTGTCTCCATTTTGTCATGGCAACCAGATGGGCACTGACATTGCTGAGTCTTAGCTAGTGGGTAGCTCTGCAGTGCTCAGCTTCACTCAGGGACGGGGTGGCCAGAGACCCCACTGCCTCGCTCAGGGACAGGGTGGTCAGAGCCCCCACTGCCTCGCTCAGGGACGGGTGGTCAGAGCCCCCACTGCCTCGCTCAGGGACGGGGTGGTCAGAGCCCCCACTGCCTCGCTCAGGGATGGGGTGGCCAGAGCCCCCACTGCCTCGCTCAGGGATGGGGTGGCCAGAGCCTCCACTGCCTCGCTCAGGGACGGGGTGGCCAGAGCCCCCACTGCCTGCTGCTCTTGACCTTGGTCCTCTATTTACAGTGTGAGACCTCATTGGATGGAGAAGCAGGTCTCTGCTGGTGTGTCTATCCGTGGAGTGGGAAGAAGATCCCTGGGTCTCTGGAGATCAGAGGGGACCCCAACTGCCACCAGTATTTCAATGTACATAACTGAAGACTTCCACACACGCTCTCTCACACAAGATATTTAAGTATATAGAATATTTATAGTCCGGAGCACACCATTTTATATATGTGTATATGTATATAATCAGGAACTACTTTTTATACTCCACTTACTGCTTGATATATAAAGTTGGTTCATATTTATTCACTGTAACTTTATGTTTTTCTACACAGTTACCTGTGCTATATTAATTTATATACCATGAAGCGCTTCTCATCACCGTATATGTAAATACTGTGTCTCAGCTCTTCCACAGCCCATTCTTCTGTTTTGAAAGGGCAGCGTGATACTGCCTAGAATAGGCACACGTCAGTCTGAGGTAGGGACGTCTCCAGTGGTCTTACGGAGGGGAGTCAGCTCTCTGCAGCCACGGATCTGGGTCTGATGCCCATTTGTCGGGGCAAGTTGAGATGTTGACTATGTAATCAAAGCTAAGTGTGGAGACCTGTGTTGGGTGCATTTTTAACTGCACATCTGGAATAAATACTCTACCTGGAAATACTGTTGTCCCTGTGGTGCCCCAGCGTCACCTTTGTTCCTGTGATCTCTCTATCTTTCGCCCTCACCGGCCCCTGAGTCTATGCTTTGGGGACAGACAGTGTGACAGACGGTGCCGTGATCTTGTGGCCCCATTTCCAGGCAGCATCAGGCCTCTGGGCCACACTAGAGATCCCCTCCCCTCAGCCCATTGCAGAAAGACGCTTAAAAGAAATTGCACACTAGCTCAGCATTGAGAATAACAGAGGGTTATTTATTTAGGGGTAGACTCACAAGTCCCAATCCTCTGCTGGACTGGAGAACAGCAACAGAAGCCTGCAGCCGGCAGGAAGCGAGCTTTACATAGGCAAAAATAGTACAAGAGGCATAAACCCGCCAAGTGGGCGGGTAGCTTAAAGGCTACTGGCTGCAGGAATTCTATCGCAGCCCATCTCTCTTTCTCCCCAGAGCCCTCTGCCTCTCCCCTGCTTAACACTCTTCAACACATCGGTATACCTGGGCTTCCTCAACTGAACTACATACAGATAGAGAGAAGTAGCCACTGGCTTCCTGTGCTTTTGAGGCAGGGTAGCCCAGGCTAGACTTTCCCAGCTGTCTTCTCCACTCGCTCCATTGCCTGGTTCTTGAAACTGAGCCAGATGCCTTGCCTTGCTCCCCTTGCTGTTACTGGCCTCTCGCTCTGCTCCCCATCTTCCCATAGATTATCCCAGGTTTTTCCCGTCTGTTTGATGTCCGAAAGGGAAGCTGAGGCCTCTCCACTGCCTCTACTTCAGGGAACCAGGTATCTCCCATTTCCCTGTGTGTGTAAGGTTGCTGGGCATGCTAACCTTTAGGATTGGTGATGGCTAACCCCTAAGAGAGCAGAGGATAGCCAAGGAGAAGGCAGCGAGCTGGAGGAGCTTCTAGCTGGCAGGCTAGGAGAAGAGGTAGATAAACGGAGAGCAAGAGGCACAGCGGGCGGGCATGAGTCCCTGAAGGGCGTGGGAGAACATTTAAAGAGGACTCGCTCAAGGGCACAGAGCCGGAGCCAGTAGGTCACACACCTCTGTCCATGACCTATCTTCAATTGGTAATTAACTACCTGCCATTTTTCTCTCTAGATTGTTATCTTTTATATGGCAAATGAATTCAGGGCCTTATACTTGCAAGACAAGTGTCCTGTCGCCAAACCATTTCCTTAGCTCTACCGACTTATCTCTTATCAACCATCTCTCTATGTACTTAATGCACACTTGCTCTTCAATGATCTGTTTGTCTGACTTGGAATTCCATCTGTCAATCATTCCACCCATCATCTATCCACTCACCCGCCTTTCAATGGAGATTTGTTGTGAAGAATTGGTTCATGTGCCAGGGAGGCTGGGACGTCCCCACATCTACCACAGGGAAGCTGGCAGTGTGATCCGCCTGAGGCTAAAGACCTGAACGCAGGGGACTTCTTGATGATGTAATTTCCACTTCAAGGACCAGAGAATAGAAAATGTCCCAGATAGGAAGAAGAATGGCTTGACTCCCCTCCCCGCCATTTTGTTTTATTCAGATTCTGACCAGAATGCACAGCGTGCAGCTAGTGTCGGGGTGGGGGTGGAGGTGTTGGGGAGTCAGTCTGTGCATCTCACCTGGAGGCACCCACAGCCATCCCTGAAATGATGTTAACTTCGTACTCATAGTGGCCCGGCCGAGTGGATATGAGGAACTGATCATGGCAGGCATGTAGGGGAAAGGTCAGAGGTGAAAGGGTGAGGTCAAGGAAGAGTGTGTGAATTGGTAGCTTCAGGGAGGTTAGTCCATTGGGTTTATGAAGAAGCATTGCCCTGTGACTCATGCCTCAGCAGTGGCAGCAAAAGGCCTCCCAAGTTTCTGTCCTGGATGCACTCTGGATCTGGCCTCAGGGCACTTGGTAGCCCGTGCATGCTGTCCCTCCATCCCCAGTGAGTTCAATGTGCTTTCTTCATTGGTGAAGCACCACCAGCACAGCACTCCAAGGGTGCTGCCCTCTGACCCTGGTTCCCACCCTGTGGTCATGCTGTACACCCCCAGATCTCCGAATACCCATGGAATCAATTTGCTGTTTGCTGTGTCCAACTCTGTGATTCTGCAGTCACTTTGGACGTCTGTTGGGTGACTTTAAACATGACTCTAAACAGGCATGTCATGGTCTCAGGATGTACCTGAAACTATTTTGGCAAGGGAGATAGGTGTGCCAAAGCCATAGAGAGGGACCGAGGTAACAGAAGCCCTCCCAACCTTTGGGGTTGTCCTCCTTTTCTGGATTCAGTTCACTTCCCTTCTCCAAGCACCCAGTAGCAGAAAGACTAGTGACTTATAGGATGTACCATCATCTCTTTGGGGAAGCTCCTCTGAAGACCAGAGGAACAAACTGCGGAAGCAAGGACCAGACTGTCATGGAGACCATCTACTTTCCCTGTCTAGATCATAACAACCATCAACCCAACCTACTGGACCTATGTGACCCGGTGCTGCATGAATGCCAAAGAAGGCTGCAGCGGCCGTGCCGCTGAGATTCTTCAGTGAGAGATGGACGCAGCTCTGACATCTAGCCATGTTCACGACATCTTCTGCTATGTCTAGAAGGTTCTACCCTCTCAGAATGATCTCATCTGCGACTCAAGACCCAGAAGCAAACAAAAGTAGGGAGTTATTTTTTAATGATAAAAACTTTATTTACTATTTATAAATACATTGCAAGACAAACTTTTCAAAAATACATTTTTCCCCAAAAAAACTTAATTAAAAAAAATAAAGAAAAGCTGATAGGCAGGCAGAACATCTTGAGAATCCCTTGTGCTCTCAAGACAAGCTCTGTACAGCACACGTTCACCCCGTGGGATGCAGTGCAGTCTCCTCGCACCCTCTGTTGCCAGACCTCCTCGGCCTTGGGGAGAGCAGCCCAGCCTCCAGACGCCGGCTCCTTTCCCTCGGCGTGCCTGTGGTTACATCACCTAGCGTCTCTAACATTTTACCTAGGATTATCTAGTACAGATTCTATTATATTCGGGCTATGTCGTATATACTGTTAACAATCACGAAGGTATTTTGTCTGCATATATGCGTGAATTATAAAGAAAGTCTGAGAAGAACCCCAAGATCAACAAACGGGTGATTCTCTTGGTCTTGCCAGGCTCTCCAACAAGCCATTCCTCTTTCCTGTTCAGATAGGGAGGGGGAGATGAAAATAACCCTTTAAACCCCCTTTTCTTTCTTTAAAAAAAGCTTCCCCCCACCCCACAATAAACTTTATTTTGAGAAGTTGGACAAGAAAACACTGTTGGTTGGTTTTGTTTTGTTTTGTTTTGTTTTTAAAATCATCTGAAGAATTAACTGTACCATTTGTGACATCTCTGAACTTGGAGGCTGACACTCACTGCTCCTCCCACCTGGGGCCAAGTCATCAGGAAGTTGCCTGACAAAGGAAGGTCCTCGTCCTTGTTTCTATGGGCTCCCAGAGTGCCTTAGAACATTCTTGGCCGTTCTTAATAAGAGAGACTTCGCCTATTCTCCCCACAGTTCCCAGGAAGATCAGGTCACTTGCATGGGTTCAGATGATACCAAAAGGCCCACAAGCCTCGGGTGTGTGTGTCCAGATGTCCTGGTGACTGGGTTAGGGCTTTCCCCACTCTCCACAGTGCCTGCACTCATTACAGGGAACGGAAAGAGGGTTTTTCTCTATCGGCAACAGAACCTCTGACGTCAAGCAGGCCAAGGGCCAGCAGCACTGCAGCCCGTACTGGGTGGGTTAGGGGAAGAGGGCATCCGGGGCCCGGAGCACAAGTGTTTTCATAGGAAGCAACAGGAAAATTCAAACTGCTGTCTGTTGACTACCGGAGAACAGAAAGACGATCAAGTTTACAACTTAAACAACCAGAGGCATTTCAAAAAATCTGTCTAAACTTTGGTTTTTCTGTTTGTTTTTTTTTTTAAATCAGTTCACCACAAAAAAAGAAATAAAAATCAAGGCTGTAGCCAGCTGCTGATCATGTTGGTGGCAGTCTTTTGTGCAAAATAAGGCGTATTTGTTCTCCACGTCAACTAAGGGGAGAAAAGAAGAGTAAGACATATGTTAGAGTGACTACCCCTAAAACCCAAAGGGCTCAGCCTTTCACAGAGCCCCCAAACACTCAGTGTGGCACTGCAAGCGGGCGGGACCCAGTCTACCCTTCCTCAACAAGCCAAAGAATGCCCTAAGATACTTTCATTGTATCATTCTTAAAAAGCGTTACTCTAAATTAGAATTATTTTTCCAAAGTATAAGAAAAAAAAAATTTAACTACAAATGAAATTTTTTTCTACCTATTAGCTAAAAAAAAAATCTTCACAGCGTTTGCATGTGAAAGAGTGTGGGCCTGCGCTTGCGGGTGGCGCACGCCTTTAATCCTAGCACTGGTGAGGCAGAGGCAGGTGGATCTCTGTGAGTTTGAGGCCAGCCTGGTCTACAGACTGAGTTCCAGGACAGCCAGGGCTACACAGAGAGATACTGTCTCGAAAAACACACAAAAAGTGCATATCTACAAAGTTATTTACAATAGAGCATCTTTGAAGTCACACTGACCCTGACCTTAAGCCTGTGGTTGGGCAGGGGACCTCCTTCCCCCTTTTGTCCTCCTCTCTTTGGGCCAGGCTGCAACTCCTGGGTCAATGAGCTGAGGATGACAGGTGGACACCTGGTGATCACAGGTGCTTCTAGCAATGGTCACAGCTGCCCCTAGCAATTCCCCAGGTGGCCACAGGTGCCCTTAGCAATACTCCTGGTGGTCACAGCTGCCCCTAGCAATACTCCTGGT